GCTGGACTGGGGGAGAGGCCGTCGGCGAGGGTGGCCCTCGTTGCCTTCAGTCTTCTCGCTCGGTTTAAATAGTGAGAGCAAATTACCTGTCCCGTCCCAAACCCTCGGGCAGGTGTCCGTGCTCTGAGGGCTGGCAGCGACTGTGCTGGGCTGGGGTAGCACCGACAGCGCTGCTTCTGCTTGTGTTTAAAGAGCGTTTAAGGGCAGAGCTTTAGAAACAACGCTGTGTGTCGGGGACATGGGGCTGCAAGGACAGGACTGATTTCAGTTTACTGAAGAGGAGCTAAGTTTTGTGTGTTAGAGGGCAAGCTACGTTGTAAGTGGATGCTGCTGCTTTAGGGCTCTTTAATGCTTGAAGAGCCATTTGACCTTAACATGGATGGGAATGTAGTGGACAATGTCCATCTTCTACTAATGCATGAATGGACGTGCTTATCCTGCAGTAATTTTGTCTGTTTAGGTTGATCTGGTTTTAAACTGAGCTAAAAGATGTTGATAATAGCCATATGTTATTTTTTTTTAAATATGGGATCTTGTGGAAGGATCTAGTTGCACCGGTATGAACCAGTCGATGCCCTTTAAGGTCTCTGATGGTGTGATGAACAGCAGCATTCAGTCTCCTGTTCCTGTCCACCACTGCAGCAGCCTGTCCCCTGACCCTGGTCTAGAACGTGAGACCCACTCCTGTCAGAATCGAGAGCTGTGGCTAGACCCTTTGTACAATACCAGTGGGCGCATTTAATACCTTTAAACACAGTTAATTAAGTTGTCTTTTTAATTTCCACCTCTCTCCTTTTTCTTTGCAGGCCATGATAAAACCCTACGATGCCGTTTTGAGTAGGTGAAGTGAAGGGGGAAGAGGGGGATACAAAAATGCCCAGGCAAACAGCAGTGACGATCACTTTGGCGACTCTGCTGGGTGTTGCAGTGGGGGGCCTGGTTTTGTGGAAGGCAACCCAGCGTCGTAAAGGAAAAGCATGCTGTAGTAGTCAGCAGGAGGAAGCAGTTATACACTCCGGAGATGAGAAACTTATTAAAGCAGAGGATAAGGAGGTGCTTTCCTTCTTCAGATCTCCCACCTTTTCCTGGGTAGAGAGGACCCTTGGTGCAGACATAGTGATAGTTTCAGAGCAGGAGGAGTGGGATCGTGTTGAACCTTTGCTGAAGAAGGAGCTGGAGAAGTGGCCAGTGCTTGGAATTGATTGTGAGTGGGTGAGTGATCAAGAAGTGCCTCTCCTTCAGCTTGCAAATTGCAATGGGAAATCATCTGAGGAGGAGCGATTCCTTTGCTTTCATGGATGCAGCAGGACTGACAACTGAAGCTGTGTGTTTATCTGTCAGGACAGTGGTGAAGTCGCTGCTAATGTTGTTCTCGCAATTAAGTGTGCTGACTGAAACTTTCTGATGCACCAGTTGTATTTGTTTGCTGAACTCCTGTGATAAATTGACTACACTAAACATGGTGATAATTGTATTACTAAATATAGCAGCATGTGTTTTGTGTATGTCTTTAAAGGTGATCTAGTAAAAATAGCTTGGGCTTACACTGTTTTAAATCCACCTACATACTTAAGAAAAAATTTCTTAAGAATAATAAACCCAAAAAGGTGGATAATATCGGTATGTAGATGTAACTCACTGGGACTACCAAAGGCAGAGTTCCTCCTTTGCTCGTGCATTTGCCCACGTGAACTCTCAAAACTTTGAGTCACTTATAAAGCCTGGCTTTGCCAGTATTTTGGCTGGAAATGTATTCACCTCACAGCCATTAGTATAAGCCACAGTTAAACAATGTGTTTTCCATACACCTCTATATAGTGGGTGGTTTCGTGCTGATGTGGGTTAAGAAATGTGTCTGATTTCTTCCACCAGCTCAGCTATGAGGGGGAAGGGTGAAAGGGAGAAATTCCTCTCAGAGGATGTGACAGGAACTAGCTGGGGGGCAGTAATGCTGTGAAACAGATGACATAATTTGCAGTAAAATTTGAGAGACGTGTGACAATACTTGGCTGTATAAACTGACAGATATTTCCTGTCTCGAGTGGCTTCTTTTGCAGTTTGTACCAGTATTGCTAGTCATACTATAACCCAGACTCTGGTTTTTGTCTTTATTTCAGGTATCTGTGGAAGGAAAAGCAAGTCCTGTATCCCTCATGCAGATGGCTTCTTCCAGTGGCTTCTGCGTTCTTGTTCGGTTGCCCAGACTTGTTGCCGGTGGACAGACTATCCCAAAGACCCTGTTGGACATCATGGCAGATAGCACTGTGCTGAAGGTTGGGGTAGGATGCTGGGAAGACGCTTGCAAGTTACTTCATGATTATGGTCTTCCAGTCAAAGGGAACGTGGATCTCCGGTATTTAGCCATGAGGCAGCGGTGAGTGTCTGAAGGCAGAGGTGGCTCTGTTTCAGGAATCATTCGCATGGAAATACTTTTAAAGTAACTTGCGTATGCTGAATGATAGCAGGTCGGTAGGTCTGGAGGTCTCAGGGTGGTTTGAGAGCACGGGCATTGACAGCTGCAGCCCAAGAACGTGCCACGCTTCTGTGCTCTTAATGGAAGTGAAATCTGCGTGAAGATTTCACGTGCTAATTGTGTCTGTTAGTCTCCTCGTGCAGTACCCATATGGGCTCTTCTGAAGGTCATGCTTCAGCTTGTAGGAAGTCCAGGCACAGTGGTGTAATACAGTGAGAGTTATCACTGTGTCAGCAGACGTTTGAATACACTGCCTACAAGTATGGGGCAAATGTGCCAGGGGCACGTTAGTGGAACTGTTGAATTACAGGATTCCTTGAAAAATGGCTAGAATAAACCAGCTCTAATTTTTTCTTCTAATAATGATGCTTCCATTAAAAGGTTACAATTATGGTGCCATGTTCTCATCCTTCATTCTTCCAAAGATAAAATGTTTTACTTGGGAATATTCTTCACATAGAGTATATGCACGCCTGGCTGTGGTGGTAGTGATCTGGGGCATGGGTTTGCTGACCTGACGGTGCCTCTTTAGCACTGAGGATGGATTTCTTGTCTCTAGTGTTGAGGATTCCTCCGAGTCATTCCTGGCTCCTTATGAATCCCTGAGGCAAGCAGTCCAGGTCTGTGATAGACCTCTTTAGTTCAGAAGTGGGTAGTTCAGATCCAAACACTTAGCCTTAAATGTTACCACTCCCAGCCTTGCCTGTTTTCTGTATTGCAGGCTCTAGATGATTACTGAATCTAGAAAGGAGATTTTAATGGAGGGGAGGGAAAGGGGCTGTAAAGCTGACGGGCAGCTGTGTGCTGTTTGAGTGGGAGTCATGCACCACGTGCATTGTGTTCTGGCAGGTTCGGGATGCACGATGCTATCTGAATTTGCATGGGTGTATAGTTTTGGTGTTAATATATTTGTTTCACTTTCTTTGTTAAACTGAAGGAAGGATCTACTTCACAACTGCCTTAGCCTGAAGTCTTTAGCTGAAAAGGTCCTGAACTGCCCACTTGACAAGTCTCCTCATGTGCGTTGCAGCAACTGGGAGGCAGAAGAGTTGACGCAAGATCAGGTGTGTCTTCACCTTAATGTTTTGGGAGGAAAAGCAACCCTCTTGGTAGAGAAGAGGTATTACAACAGGGGAATCTGAGCCTGCTTCAAGTTCTGCCTCAAAGCCTTACGTGTGACTGTGGTCTGAAGTTAATTTCAGACTCTGTGCCTGTATTTGCCTCCTCTCCCATGGAGGTGGCTTTCTGCTGTTATCCCTGGATTCTTGGCCCTTGTTTTGCTTTAGTCCTGAAAGAGCTATAAGGCGAGATCCCTTGAAGGAGTATTTGGGCACCCAAAACCTCACCTTTTTATTATTTTCTTTTCTCCAATCAGTAGCAGTAAGTGCAATATTAGAGAGAGCCTGGAAACCTTGTTCACTCTCTTTAGACCATTATGGTTTCCTTAATTGCTCTCTTTCTTTTCAGTCATGGTGTAGCTGTCTACAAAATCAGTGACCGGTAGAGGGAGCGACAGGATAAATAATCACACTAAATACTGGTAGGCAGTGTGTCAAAAGGGAGCCTTTTTTCAATTATGGAGGACAAAAGGGGGTTTGAGGCGTGGCTGACCTGAAATTTTTTCAGTCCCTTGTGGTTTCTGGGGACACCCATGAGTATTTCAAGTCTGACTGACCCTAAAAATGTGGTGATGTTACGAAAGTGTCACGTTGCATGAATTTCAAAAGGAAATAAATCCAACTTCTGTATTTTTTTTAACCTTCAACATAATGTTAAAGACTGATAATGTCTGGGAGTGTTTGCTGTTTTACAGTGTCTTGATGCCTACACTTTCCTGCAGGTTCTTTATGCTGCTAGGGATGCCCAGGTCTCAGTGGCTCTGTTCCTCCATTTGTTGGGGTTTGCCAGCCTTCCTGCTCCATCTGAAGGTGAAAACTCTGATTCTGTTTGGGAGAAAGCACTGGGCAAATGCCGGGGCTTGGTGGATATCCCATTTAGAGGAAGAAAGAGTGGCAGCACAGGAGAGGAGAAGAGTGGGGAGGGACGCTCGCCTCAGAAAACAAAGAATCGGAAATCAGTGAATGGGCAACCCTCCGGCAGTCAGCAAGTGAGAGATCCACGGAGGCAGAAGCGAAAGCCTCTGGGCGTGGGATACTCTGCAAGGTAAGTCTGTGAGCATGTTTTGCTCCTTGTGCTGCAGATGGAAAACTTTAAATGATGTCTCATGCTCTACTCATTAAGCAGAGTGGCTACTATGAGCTGGGAAAGAAAACACAGAACCCAGCAGTCATGGGAGCCAGATCCTGTTTCTGTTTTACCTCTAGGTGATACTGAAAGTGGGGGCAGCACTCAGATCTGTACTAGGTCTTGAGCAGGTTGAGGGATGTCTTCAGCTTTTGCTCTTCCTTTTCCTATGGAGGCATTGGCTGGAAGTCTCAGCAGGAGGTGGTTGCCTGTCCTGGTGCCCTGATGGCTGTGCCCTGTTTCCTCCACCTGCATAGAGCTTGTCCTCTGAGCAGGATCTGCCTCCTGGACTGCTGTTTATACCCTGCTGCTCCAGATCACCCTGGCCGCAGAGATGTCAGGGTACTGAGCAGGGCTGAAAGCTAAGGTTAGGAGGGGTGAGCTGTCATGCGAGGTGCCAGAGGGCACGGGAAGGGACAGTCATTGGCAGCAGCAAAGTGCTGCACTTCTGCGTTGGCCAGGGAGAGAGAGGAAGGAATGGCACTGCTTTGGCCTTGCAGGGGCAGCTGTTGCTGGATTCTGGATCCCCATCCCGCAGGTGACTTTTCTGGAGCAAATCCTAAATTCTCACAGCCTTTTGCTAGTGAAAGTTCAGTTGTTTTTACATTAAAACAAGTTGGATAAGTCTCTTAAAGCTCAGTGCAGTAGATCTATGATTCTGTGATTAAGGCATGGAGAGCTGGTATGTTTGGTTTCGTTCAGATACAATCTAATAAAATCAATCACGTGGATGTAGGAACTAAAATAGCCTGTAATTACCATTTGGAGAGAGAGCCAGTCATTTTAGTATTTGTTTTCTCCTTTTCAAGTTTATTGGATTGGCAATGAAGACATTTTAATGCAGTCAATAACATTGATTTCATTAGCAGTCATTAATGGGTTTGTGTTGTACACAGCAAGTCCCTTCAGATTTATTTTTTGTCAGTTGGAGCCTGTGTGTCCCGGTTTGAGCTAAATAGAACTAATTATTCTTTCATACAAAACAGAAGGACTGCACCTCATAGGGGGATTAAAATTTAAACAAAACTGCATTCCAAGCTAAATTGAGCTCTCCCCATGTTTATTTATTTATTGTTTTTAACCATGCTTGACTTCATGAGAGGTCTGTGAATTCACTGTTTTCTACACTATCTCCAACAGTCTGGCTCTGGTCTGTAATAAGACTGGATGTGATTTCAAAAGTCCTTTTGCACTCTTACTTCCTTTAAGCCTATTTAACTTTAATGTTTATTCAGTTAGAGGTGGGAAGTACTCAAACTGCTATGGTGATTGCGCTGAACTGCTTATGCTCAGTGGAGTGATACCCCCTGTGTCATCATTGTTTTGTTGGTTTGGTTTTATCTTCTCCATGGACCTCGGAAGAAATCCTTTTTTCAGATTACATAGTCTGTGAATCAACCTCTTAGCTGTTACTTATTTATGTGATCTTTCTAGAAAGAAAGGAAACTCTTGCCGTGCACTGTGACAGGTCTGTAACCCTGGCCAGGTCCTCCCAGGTGCTCCTTGAGCCCAGCCTGCTCTGCTCGTCAGCTTTGTTTGGAGGAGGTTGGCAGAGTAAGATGTTTTCTACAAAACAGAGCTCCTCCACACAGTGCCACAAACCACCAGAGACTTTTTGACTCGGGTTAGGTGCCTGTGTTTCAGCTTCATTGTTCCCATGGACACACGTTTGGGCTCTCAGTGCACCAAGAGCTTTTTTGTGGTATTTCTCTTGTATGAATGAAATAATTGCTGTTCACACTAAGTTTTAGAAAAGCCATCTTAATAAAACATTAAAATATAGGCTTAGGCAGCTGATCCTTGGAATTGCCTTGCCTGTAAGTTGATCCTTTGTTTTAGCTTACTCTTAGCTCATCCTCCTTCTTGACTTCAATTCTCTTTTGTTTTCTAATGACATTTCATTGCCATCATCGATGGCGTCTCTTGAAAGCTGAGATTCAGAGTTACAGTTCTACTGGCAGCAAGAGAGCAAACATAACTTAGTCAGTTGTGAACCCCAGGTATGTTTTAGAATGTTCTGTTTCCTGTAGCAGCAGCCTGTGCAGTGCTCAGCAGCCTGAAGCGTGCGTTTAGGGGCATTCCT